GGTGAACAAGGAAAATATATTCCCACTGGCAGGTGGGTCAGTAACCCGAGGACACAGATTTAAAATAGTTGTTAAAAGAAACAGAGGGAAGGTGAGGAGAAATGTTTTCACACAGTGAGTTGTTCGGATCTGGAATGCATTGCCTGAAAGGTAGAAGCCGATTCGATAACAAATTTTAAGAGAGAAGTAGATAATTATTTGGGGAGGACAAGTTTGCAGGGCTATGGGGAGAGAGCAGGGGAGTGGGATTGAGTTGGATAGCTCTTTTCAAAGAGCCGGTACAGACACGATGGGCCGAATGGCCTCCTTCTGTGCTGTATAATTCTACGATTCTATGGCTGTATATTTTGTGGGCGAAATGCGGGAGCCAACTGAACACAGCAGTATCCCACAAACAGTCGTGGATTGATTGACCCAATTTTTTTTAAGGGATTATTACTCCCAGAAAAGCGATCTGCCAATCGACTAACAACCAGGTTCCTACTTACTGCTAGGTAAACAGAGGTGTGTGGAGTAAGGAAACTTGCCTAACATTTTGCCCTACCCGGGAATCGAACCCAGGTCCTTTCCCTTATGAGGCGAGTGCTCTATCTAATATGCTACAGGACTCAAACTGTTTGAAAGGCACGATCATTGCATAGGCTGCAATTGATGGGTGAATACAAACTGGAAATTATAATAGAACTGTAAGAAAAGGGATAAAATCATTGTTTGATATGATGTTGGATGTGTGAAAGTATTCAAACCAAATGGAGTGGAGGCTTGTATCCCTGGATTCTGTGACATGTTTGGTGAAGACTATAAAAGAACTAAACAAATGTTAAGAGGTTGGATATGTTGTAATATCGTGGGCTAAATGAATTAGCTACTCGTTTGAGCCAAAGGATTACAAAGAATAATGGTGTATAAGTTGCTCCTAGTGTCCCCAGTGAAGGTCGCGATCAGCCTGAGTCCTGAATCATCTCCTGAAGTTGTAAGCATGAAACTTGTAACTGTTTAATAACCGTCTTATTGATTAATAAATGAACCCTTTGATTTATCCATCATCTCTGTCTACTATCTTACCTCAGGGCCAACACTGTAGAAAATATGCAAATTTCATATGCAAATATTGCAAATAACTAATAACGTTTAAGATGCGTAAAACACTACTTCCTCTCACTGAACATTTATTTGTTTTTCTTTAAGTGTCAATTGGGTAAAGCATAACAGGGCAGGGAATGCATTCACAGAGTCAAGTGTGGCATAGAATAGATCCGAATCAATTGGTCTGCTGCTTTACTAGCAAATGCTGGAAGTGTCCATTCAACTACTGTATCTATTTTTACTGAAATAGTTATTTTCAATATCCCTTTATACATGTGTCTCAGCAAAAAATTCTATTTGCTGACATTCATTTAGTTGACCTTTATATGTGCAGTGTATAGGTGGCCAATTTCCGAACCTCTCTTTTATAACATTCATGACACATTGAATACATTTATATTTTCGCGGGCAGGAATAGGTATATATTTTTCATATACTGGCATGATAAAATGTAATATTTTCTCATGTTTTGTTTCATTAACATTGCATTTCCATTGCCTTTCACTCTCAATGCTTTGATGCTACTTTTCACTGGTCAATGAGTTGGTAAATGGAGGACATCAATTTAAAATCACTTCTAAAATATATGGAAAAGGATAGAATATATTCTTTTTACATAGGCTTATTAGAACATGGAATAATAATAATAATAATCCTTGCATTTGATATAGCGCTTTTCACGTCAGGAGGACGTCCCAAAGTGCTTCACAGAACACACTGTAAAGTGAATTGACTGTATATTTGTGGGCGAACGCGGCAGCCAATTGCGCACAGCAATGTCCCACAAACAGTCGTAGATTGAAAATGACCAATTTATTGTTGTTTTTGGTTTTGGAGGGATTATTATTAGGCGTATGGAGTAAGGAAACTTGCCCAAGGTTTCGCCCTGCCTGGAATTGAACTCACTTGCAAAGCGAGTGCTCTAACCACTGAGCTGCAGGACTCCACAGAATAATCTACTAGAAACAGTAGTATAGCAGAATTCATAAAACTGCAACCTTTAAAAGTGAATTAGACAAAATTTGAAAATATTTATTAGATACATTTGAAAATAAAATTTAAAGATAACTGGCACAGCCACTAAGGGCCTTTCTCCGTTCTGTAAAAGATTTCTATGATTCTACAATCGTAACTAAGGTCTACAACTAGTCTACATCCCATGATGAAAATTGGTTTGGATTAACCATGTGCAAAAATTGTTGAGTGGTTAGAGCACTCGCCTCGCAAGCGAGAGACCTGGGTTCGATTTCCAGCAGGAGAAAACCTTGGGCAAGTTTCCTACTCAACACGCCTGATAATAATCCTTCAAGACAAAAAAAACAATAATAATTTGGTCACTTCAATCCACGACTGTTTGTGGGACACTGCTGTACGCAATTGGCTGCTGTGTTTCACCCACAACTATACAGTCAATTCACTTTACAATATATTCTGTGAAGCGCTTTGAGACGTCTAGAAAAAACGTCTAGAAATCCCTCCACTCCTCTGCATCCTCTCTGACCTCCTCTCTCCTCAAAACAGTACCCGTTGCCTTCGTTCCTCCAGGTCTGGCCTCCTCCTCGTCCCCCGAGTCCTCTGCTCCACTCTCGGCGGCCGTGCCTTCAGCCACTATGCCCAGAGGCTCTGGAACTCCCTTCCTCACTCCCTTCGTCTCGCCCCCTCTCCTCCTATTTTCAGGTCTCTGCTGAAGACTTTTCTTTTTGACTGCACCTTTGGTCACCTTCCTCCCCCTCCCCCTGGCTCGGCCCCGGGATCCGTTACTGTGAAGCTCTCTGAGACGCCGTCCGGCATGGAGGGAGCTATATAAATCCAAGCTGTTGTTGTTGTATATCAAATGCAAGTATTATTATTATTATTATCCACTTGTACAGGTTCTCTCAATTATGCAATGAACAGTCAATGGAAATTATAATTCTCCAATTATAATTCTCATCTCAGACCCCCCTCTGCCTCTCCCTTGCCTTCTTCAAGGTCCGTCTTAAGACTTTTCTTTTTGACCATGCCTTTGGTCATCCTCCTACCCCCAAACCCCTTGACCTCCACCTCTCTTGACTCCAACTCCCAGCTCAGGTGCACACCCTTGACACAGCAGCAACTTGGGATGTCATCCCGATGTGTAAGGCGCTATGTAAATGCAATCTCTTGGTGTTCTTGGTTAACATGCACCTGAACAGGTACGTCAGTGTTTTACCATCTCATCTGAAGGACGGCACCTCTGACAATGCAACACAACGCCACTACTGCATTGGAGTTTCAGTTTAGATGACGCAAGTGAGATTTTCTGTCAACCAGCACTTGGGAGTAAAATAGTTTTTAAGAGAGTTGTGTTGTTCATAAGCACAGAAATTACCTCCAGCAAGAACAACCAGCTCATAGCATCTTTGGTTACTTTTCATCTTCTGGCTTTTGAGCTACTTTTACAATACTCATTCCCTTAACTCTTTGGAAGCTCCCATTAATCTACTTGAAAGGATTCCCTCAGGCTGCCTTATTCATGGACAATACCAGCTTCATGCAGTTCCCAAGCAACTGTAATTCACTTATGTGTTAATATCAAGCACATTACTGATATAATAAATAACAAATGTTTGGAACTGGTTGGAAGTTGTGGAGCAGGATTTCATTTTTCTGCTTCTAATGGTTTTGTTAGTAGAGCTGAGCTCAGTGCTGTGTGCAAAACTATTTTAAAATTAAGCTTGCTGCTGCAGTTGGATGTCATACCCCCTGCAGCCAAGAGCCTCCTGACACTAATTGACGGACACACTCATAAATATTGCCCACTTGGGAAAACGAAAATTGGAGAAATATTGTTTGTAGAAAAATTAGTGTACGAACACAAAGTTAGATCACATGCCAGGGCCGGTACTGAACAGATGCTCAGCAAGCTCGCCAGCTCCATTCCACTTAAAATTGGCTTGTCTTGTTTCAAAATGCATCATTGTACTTCAAATTCTGTTGTTCTCCCAACACGTTTTGAGCTCAATGATGGGATTTGAAGTGTGATGATTCATTTCAATGGTGTGATGTCGGGATTTGAAATTTTTAAGTAAGAAAATATCAGGATCCACAACCTGAGCGCATTATAAGCAAACCACCTTATAGAACCCAGAGATCAAGTGTACTAAATAAATTTGGTCATTCACTCCGTAGCTGTTTGTGGGACAATGTTGTGCATAAATTGGCTGCCACATTCACCCACAAAGCAGTCACAACACCTTACAGTATATTCTTCAGCCATGAAAGCTGCCAACAAAATGTAAGGATTGTTACTTTAGTATAGTATTATAATCTGTAATAATATGCCGTGGAGGAATTGGCCAGTTTCACATCACTATTCTGTTACCTCTAATATGCAGTTACCCCTAACATGCTGTAGTGAGTGAATCCGAGTGTGAACCGGCTATGATACCGTCGGGCGCAAACATAAGTCACTTGAGTGAATTATTGCCTGACTCTATGGAAGTGAACCGCAGATGGAAGTTAATGATCCTATGGCATGATCCAAAAAGAGAAGGGAGGTTCTCCTGATGTCTTGGCCAACAATCCTCCAGATAAAAATTGGTCATTCAGTTCATGGCTGTTTGTAGGACACTGCTATGTGTGCAAAACTGGCTGTTCCGTTCACCTTGAAATAGTCACCACACTTTAGTGAAAATTTTGTGAAGAGCTTAGAGAAGTGTTGACGATGTGATATCAAATGCAAGGATTATTTTTATTAATACAGAGTTAAAACTACAGTTGAGGAACTAGGTTAACATTTTTTTCTCATAAGGCAAATACCTTCTATATCCATTAGTTTTCAGGGCTCCACTGATAGTTCTGTACATAATACAATAATATATCGGGTAGAAGACAATAAAGCAAAGGGCATGTTATATTCTGATTAACTAATGCACAGAAAATTGAGACCATAATTAGCATTAATAAAACCTTTATTAACCAAGTTAATTTTAATCAGCAAATGCCTGACAGATTCTTAATACACCATTTAGAAACGAGTTTCCAGCTTTATATACTCAGGGCAATTTAAACAAGCCTAACCATTCTCAACAATTGCATATACATGATCTGAAGAGTCTTGTATGGTTTTTTAAAAAAATGCACAATTGACATCTTTTCAGTGCTGGATCTAATCAGAAGACATCCAAGACTGAACGTTCACCACTCAAAGTGTTGCTGAGTGCTCCAGACTTGGCTGCCTGATTATATCCAAGTACTGAAGAATCCTGAGTGCCATGGAAACTGGTCTATCTGTTTGCTGTTGATAACCTGTGGTACAGTTCCTTTTACCGTCCTCTCGGTGGACGATTATGGAGAGGCGATCAGACACTTAATGAGGCACAAAAGTTCCTCTGAGGAAGGGAAATGCTTCAGGGCAGCCAAGTGCAGGGGCATTGGGAACTTTTTAACACATTTCTACTTTTGGCACCTACTGTCCACCTGACATTAGGTATATCACAGAGCAGATGCAAATGAAGAGCTCACAAGCTAGTTTAAAGGAAGCACTTGATCAGCCCAGAAATTTATTTGATGGGAAATTTTTGTCATCCGTTCTGCTATTATTTGACTTAAATTGAATAACATCCATTGAAAATCAGAATAAATCTGAATCTCAACCTCCAGACTCCTTCATTTGAAATTCGTTCAGCAACATTTCTCGATTCTGGCTATTTGCCTGTACGCCATACACAATCTAGATCAGAGCAATACAGTAATGCAAAAATAATTTTTTGTTTTTGGCAGTAGGCTTGATGTTTTCTTGTTTATGAATTTTGTAGAAGTCTTACATAAAATAAGCAATCTAGGCACAAGGAAACGGGCGAATGTGGAATCTTTTGGTTTAATTGAGGCTTTGGTTACGCAACTCTGAATAGAGCTATAGTGCATCATCCAACAGAAAAGCTATGGGGTAGGTACATCAAGTATCTAGGATTAACATGATCAATTGTACAAAATACACTGTTTAAAACCCACACAACCTCCAAATGGATCACAAGTGTTAGTTGGGGGAAAACTAAGGGTGCTAAAGTAAACTTGCATTTTTATAACATTTGTCCATCATTGAAAAACAACTCGGTGGTTCACAAGTTATTATTTATTACCAGCGATAGATTGTGAAGGCAAATGAAGGAGACATTCACACTAGCAGGGTCCCTCCAGACACTCGTGAAGAGAATAACTAATTAATATAGAGATTTGCTGCCCCAGACAACTGACCTCAAAGACTCCTGGGGTAGAATGAAGAATTTAACTCAGGTTTCTGATTTCTTTTTTAAATGCTTCTCAGTTTTAAATCTGAGAGGATTCTGTCTAATTCATCTTAAATTTCTCAGGAAAGGTTCTTCCTGGCTTTCTCCCTCCCTCAAGCATTACCTTGGATTAGATAACCGTCAGTTATCCTCGTAACCCCAGTAAGTATGTGGCTGATCTTTGCGTAAGAATTTGGGAAGAGTGTTAAGAGTCAGCTGCAGGGAACATCAGAGAACAAACCAATCTGCTCCTTGTTTGATATCCACACAACAACAACAACAAAATTACATTTATAGAGCGCTTTTCATGTCGGGAGGACATCCCAAAGCGCTGAATACACAGCCACTTTAAAGTTTGGGGTCATTGGATTGTGATCATGAATAAGATTCATGCCTGTTTTTAGCCCTCAAATAAATGTCACCAACCAGATGGTACTTTCCTAACCACTGTAAAAATAAACCTGATTCCTCCAGCTAGTCCTCAATATACATTCCTACAAGAATATTTTTGTAATCAATGTGACCATTGCCCCAATCCTACCATTGCTCTGGTTGAGTTCAGATAAATCAGATAAATTTACTTAAGGATTAAATCTGGTACCCGTCTATCTTAATCTCACCAATTACCAAAAGAGCCTTTCTTCCTTTTCACCAGGTCACAAGTCTGCAGCCTGGTCTACAACACGGAGTTCACCCATTTCCAAACTTATACAAAATGCTCTTACAGTTCCAGCTTCAGATTTAAGAAACATTAGGCTGGAGAGACCTAAAGAGTGGGGGCAAAACACAGTTGAGCATTTTAATTCTAATGGATCAGCATTTTACACAAATTTTCAAATTTGATATGTGGGGGAAGGAGAGGAGGTGAGCAACTCAAGAGCCTATGATTTCAAAGTTTGTTTTCACTCCAGAAATGTTAAGGCTTTGACAATTTTCAAAACTTAAAATTGAGGACAAATAGTACTTTATGATGCCACTGCCCTAGAACTGGGGCAAATATTACCTGAAAAAAAAATGAAATCACAGAAAATAATCCTGGCTGTCTACTACAAGCATATTGTTCATTAGTCCAAGAAGACTGTTCTTGGACTAATGAACATTTGCATGAAATATGGGCGTGGAAACTTTGTTTTCTCAAAGATTAATTAAAAAAATCATTTTTCTCTCAACTTTACAGGTTAATTGAAAACACCATTACAATGTGATATAACTGTTTCTAATAGTTGCCTCTGTACAGTATACAAATCAGAAGGAATCCTATGCTTTGCAGATGGCTTCAGTAATCCAAACATCCATTCCAAGGCAGCTGTCAATCCAAACAAGAAACTTCATGGAAGTAAGCACAAACAAGCTTGATTCCTTGAATGTAGTTGGTCCTGTAAGAGAAACAAAAACAATTAAAAGTAATCCATCGATTGAAGTCTACCATTCTGATCCTGCACTAATATGCCAAAGGTTTGTAGGAACTTTTAAGAGGGAGTACTACAAAATGGGATGCCTGATGTGCACAATTACTTTTCCTAAATAAAATCAACCCTAAAGCACATTTGGTAGGCCCAGATCTTTCAGCTTCCAACTTGTCCATCCATGGAGTGTGTGTTCTATGCCATCCATAGAATATATGTGCCTCCTGTTTTTACTCCCTGGAGAGAGACTGAATGAGTGGACTGGGACAATGGTCACATTGATTACAAAAATATTCTTGTAGGAATGTATATTGAGGACTAGCAAGTTTATTTTTACAGTGGTTAGGGAGGTACCACCTGGTTGGTGAAAACGCTTACCAAGGCTTTATTATGTAATAAAAACAAGTTGATTAAAATACTGCATGTTGCACTGGAGGAAATCTTCTAGCCTCCTTTGGAAACTATTGCTGGGACAAAATAGTACACAAAACACAATTATTGCACTTTGCAGTATACCCTGTAAAGTGCTTTAGGACATCCTTTACACGAAAGGCACTATACAAAATGTAAATATTATTATTGTATTCAATGGTATAATTTGCAAAAAAAGTTATTAATTTCATGTGTCTGTATTTACTGCACTTTTGGTACATAATCTTCTCTCCCTAGAAATCCAACGTTTTGGAATCTTTAAGAGGGAAAATAGTATTCCTGTCTGAAACAGTGACTTCCTGAATGTCACCTAGTTTTGCAGAGTACAGTAGGTAGAGAGAGATTCTAGAGTTTAGTCTAATTGGCTGAGTTGTTGAGGTTCAGGAGAACTATGAAATACAGAAATTATCACAAGAGAAAGTCATTCAGTCTGTCAAACCTAAACTAGTGTTAGCTCAATCAACATTGCTAACTACTCTAATCCCATTTCTCTGCTCTTTCCATGTGTTCTCTTATATTTTTAAGTCTTCAAAAGTTTTATCCGCTTTCGCTTTTAAACATCATGGTATTAGACTCATCAGATACTTATAGTAAAGCAATCCATCTTCTAACAACTCTCTGCCTGAAAAAAAATCATGGTGTATCCCTAGGATACATTTCCTTATTGTACAACTAAAGATTCATATGATTCATGAGATGACTGGACAAGCAAGTTAAATTGTGCACAATATAAAGAGTCATGAAAACGTTAATTTCTACAAAGTATTCATTTAAACCGAGGGATTTTCCACACAGCACCAAAAGATCCTTTCTTGTGAGTTTAGCCAGGATTATTCAACTCAACAGACTCAAATAGGAGTCCTGTAGCTCAGTGGTTAGAGAACTCGCCTCGCAAGTGAGAGACCTGGGTTCGATTCCCGGCAGGGCAAAACCGTGGGCAAGTTTCCTTACTCCACACGCTTGATAATAATCCCTCATGAAAAAAAAACAATAATTTGGTCACTTAACCACAACTGTTTGTGGGACACTGCTGTGCACAATCGGCTGTCGCTTTTCGACCACAAAATATAGTCAATTCACTTTACAGTCTATTCTGTGAAGCGCTTTGAGGCGTCTAGAAAACGTAAAAAGCGCTATATCAAATCAAGGATTATTATTATAATAAACAGAAATAATAAAAACAGACACGTGGTAAAGATGGCAATGCAGAGACAATCGGCATCTGTGAGTTGCAATGTGGCTGAAGCGTTAGACATGACTAAATGATGACTTTGTACCGGTTGATTTTCTCATTTTGTGAATGAGCGCCATCATCTGCAGCTCCCATCGGCAGCAGCATAACATTTTTTCCTGTAGCTTCCTGGAAAGTCAAAGTTACGGGGATGCTTCCGCCTTCTCTCGTCATGTCCGGGTCAACTCCAAACACTCAAGAGAAAGAAACAAAATATGGCAACTAGAATTCATTTAAATACACATCTGGAGAACTACGTTCAGTTTTGGACACATCACCTCAGGAAGGATATATTAGCTCTGGAGGGGGTGCAGTGCAGATTCACCAGAATGATACCAGGGGTAAAAGGGTTAAATTATGAGGACAAGTTGCATAAACTTGTTCTCTATTCCCTTGAGTTTAGAAGCTTGAGGGGTGATCTGGTTGAGGTTTTTTAAATAATAAAGGGATTCAACAGGGTAGATACAGAGAAACTATTTCCTCTGGTGGGGGAATCCAGAACAAGGGGACATAATCTTATAATTAGAGCTAGGCCATTTAGGAGTGAAATTAGGAGGCAGTCCTTCACCCAAAGGGTAGTGAAAATCGGAAATCTGGAACTCTCTCCCAAAAGGCTGTGGGTGCTGTTTCCATTTACATCTTCAAGACTGAGGTGGATAGATATTTGTTAGGTCAGGGTATCAATGGATATGGGGCAAGGATGGGCAATTGGAATTGAGGTACAGATCAGCAATGATGTTATAGAATGGCGGTACAGGCTCGAAGGACTGAATGGCCTCCTCCTGTTTCTAAGTCAGTTGTGTCCTTGTTTGCTTAACGTGAAGTGTTTTACCACCCATAGTAAGTCATATCAAGTCCATTGTTCTCAAAGTGAACCTCTGAGGCCTGAATTTCACCTAGTCTTAGCCTGGTAAGATTATTTTGTCTTAAATTAAAGATCACACAGTATTTTGGAAAATTCTTAAAACTCAGGCTTAATTTGGAAGCTGGTTCTTTTAAGAACAGCAAAAAAAAANTCAAATGTTGATTTTCAGGTACTATGAAGACTGAAATTAGATACAATGCCCCTCCTGGTAGCCTGGCAGCAGTCTTGTGAACAAGAATGCAAAATTGTCATTCGTCTACCAACCTGTTTTGGTGGCATTTCTGCCAGCTCTATAGTGGGGGTGGTTATAGTCTGAGAGCCAGGCCTTTGCCCCATGACCCATTTCCACCTTCAGCTTGTTGGGGCTGCCATGTTCAGCAAATGCTTTAGTCAAGTAATCCACAACCTAAATAAAAAGCACAAGATGAGGAATTTAAATTTGAAAGAAAGCAAAACCCTACATAGCATGAAGAGGAATGAAAATTAAAATGCTGGTTTTATGAGATATGATTTAAGACCAGGAATTTTCAATATAAAGACACTCTTCCTCATGAGTTTAATCGGACAACAAACAAAAAATAAGCTCAAACAGAAAAAGACAGGAAAGAGGAAATTCCTGTGTTGCTGTCAGCTCAATAACCATACAGCAAAGCATTCTATAGAAAGACAGCCCTCTATGTAGATGCAAGTGTCTTCTAATCTCCCCCCTTAACTGTTCCAATGACAATCCTGAGCTCACAACAGCTAAAATGGAGATGGACAGATGATTGAAAATTAAGGGTATGAATCAAATGCAAGGATATAGGACTAAAAATATAAAGAGGCTGCCATAATCTAATAGAATGGCAGAGGTAATTCATTCTGATCTTACATTACTATTTCACATAGAACAGAAAAAGGGAATGGGTGTCAGCTGGGACGTTTGCTTTGGAGTCAGAAGGTTGAGGCTTCACACCTGATGTTGAGATTTGAGCTCATAATCTACAATGAGACCCCAATATAGCGCTGCATTTTTGGAGTTGCCAATCTTTAGATGGGATGTTAAACTGAGACCCATCTGTAGCTCAAGACCAGCTACTGCAAAGTGAAGAAAGCATAGTCTCCATAGCAAAGACTGTACCTGTTTCTCAACCACCTTTGGATCCATGTTTGGTACCAAACGAATAGAAAACTTCCCAATCACTTTCCTAGGAATGACAGTTTTGGATCCTGGCCCATCGAAAGCTCCTTCAATTCCATGCAGAGATAGGGATGGATACCTCCAGCGATGCATCAGAATTTCCTCCTGTGAACAAAAGGCAAAAAACACAGGCTCCTGTTTAACTGCTGTAAATATGGATTCATAAGGATGTGTAAAGGTCAGAAGTAAATTTTACAAACTCTGACGCATGCAACAGCTAATGGTCAAGGGAAGTTGTACAACTACATCTGAAGGTGACGGGAATTCAACATGGGAGAGGGGATTGGATGCCACGTTAGTCTACAAATTATAGTCACTACACTTCACAATAAAATATCTTAAGTGCTTTGAAATGTTTTGATGTCATGATAGGATGCAATATCAAATTCCAGGATTATTATTACTTTCATTCCCAGTTTGCTTTGAATTTAAACCTAGGTCTCAGAGGTGAAAGGAAAGTTGTTTCTGAGTCGAGAGAGGAACTCAACAACTGATCCAAGAGAGGCTGCGGAGGAGTGAAACCTTCAGTCCCTGAACTAGCTTCAGCATAACTGAGTGCAACTTTTGCACAGTCACATAGATTTACAAGCAAACAATTTCATGGACTGCATCTTCTCCAACAGAAATTGCCAATTGATTAAATGCATCAATTTCTTTTGTTTCTAATAGTGTGTCCAAATTACTTCGTGTGCCAATTATTTGGAAAGTACAAAAGAACTAGATCACACACAACAGCCCTGTCCCAAAGAGTATCTGAATGATGAATACTCAGTGAAATAAAAACAGGTCAGTCGATAATTAGACCCTAACCGACTGCACTAGCATTAGTGCTCTGGAGGAGATGTGTTCCTTGGGATCCACTTAGATAATAATAATAATAATAATCCTTGCATTTGATATAGAGATTTTCACGTCTTCTAGATGTCTTCTAGATGTCTTCTAGATGTCTCAAAGCGCTTCACAGAAGACTGTAAAGTGAATTGACTGTATACCTGTGGGCGAAATGCAGCAACCAATTGCGCACAGCAGTGTCCCACAAACAGTCGTGGATTGAAAATGACCAATTTATTATTGGTTTTTTGGGGGGGATTATTATCAGGGGTGTGGAGAAGGAAACTTGCTCAAGGTTTCACCCTGCTGGGAATCGAACCCAGGTCTCTCGTTTGCAAAGTCAGTGCTCTAACCACTGAGCTACAGGACTCCACATCTCTAACGCATATATTCCTATAATTTCTAGAGAAAACAAATGACACACAGGACTCTTCAGAGGAGTGCTGTTTACAAGAATAGTTTCAAAGTCTCTAAATTCAGCTGTGACTTATAGGCAAGAATTTAACATACAAGTTTAAATTCTCCCCTCCCCATGCATTCATCTCAAAATCTGTACTCGAAAAATACCAATGTCAATTCACATTATGTTAAAACAAAAAGATTCATATCTTTAAAGCCAATAGACTATGCAACTTAATTCAACCATACAGAAACGTACCTTAGTGCTGTGCAACAGCTGACAGGCTCCCACATCCTTGCAGTATTCATCCACGTCAAAGTCTATTTTTTGATACAGGTGCTTCTCCTCATCTTCGAGCGGTGCCACGGAGTCATAGATCCCAGGAACGAGGATCTTTCCATTTTTGTCCACCAACTTGCCTATTTTAAAATGGGAATTTGGTTGGTCGTACTAGTGAGAGAGCACCTCAAAACATCTTCAGTAGGACCTTCCCCCTCCCCATACAATCAACACGGTAAAGGTTGTCGAGCAGGTGTAGACAATGGCATCTGAACAGCCCTTAGAATCTGGCAATAACCCAAGCGATTTTTATGAGAAACTGACTGTGTGCCAATGGTTCTAGAAAGAGGCCCTGATGGCTTTCCAACAAAAACAATTGGGAAAGAGTACAAACATGTTTTAGATCAAGATGCATTGACAATGATAAGAGAAAAATAAATGTCACAATCCAGAACGAGTCTCTGTTGGACTGCCCTTATAAGAAATGTGTGCCCTCTGCAATGCCATTGCCCACCTCCCTCCACAAATGCCTACAGGAGAATTAGGTAGGAGATAAAATTAGAGAAGCACATTTAGAGATCACTTCCCTTTTGAAATCTCTAATTGTGTCAATCCAGTTTGCTACAAATCATGAGCACTTACCCATTAAAGTGATCAGGTCTGTCATAGCTTCATGTATTGTACCACCAAAGACACCAGAGTGAAGATCCTTATCAGAACCAGTCACCTAGATTAGAAGTGGAACAGAACAAGATTTGACCATTTATTGTATTTACAGCCGAACCCCAATTACAACTGAAAATAACCAGTCTAAATCTGGTGTCAAGGTATGGCTTCTGAAGTCAAATCAAAGAGCATGAAATATAATTCATTATCGCAACTTCAACTGATGATCTCGGAAAATGTAATAAAACTGGAAAGTCTGACATGATACTGTAAATGGTGCACCACCTAATGCTGGAATCTATAACCAGAATACATTCAGGAGTTGATTACCGTGTATATTTAGCACAACTTTAAAAAAAATATTTGTTTTACTCTTTTAAAAAATGCGATTGACGTTGGATCACAAAGGTTAAAACCAAAGAAAAATTTACCTCCACATAGAAATAGCAGATACCACGGAGGCCATACGTTATGCATGGTTTGCTTTTCCCAAGCCAGTAGTTATCAGAAATGCAAATAAAATCCACACCCTTGAAGAAGGTGTCTTTACGAGCAAACACCAATTCATCAAGACCTTCTGAGCCAGATTCCTCCATACCTTCCAAGCAGAACACGAGATTGATCGGCAGTTCCTGTAAAAATATCAAACACCATTAGACCTGTCTACTTTGACCACATCAGCTATGCATTACACAAAGCGACACTTACCATCAATATAGAATTATTTCTCCCTCCCAATAAAATACTTCAGTGCAATATTACAAAACTTTACTGTAAACGGTAAAGAAAACATTCTTTCTATTTGCCACAAATCAGGAAACATTTCCATTAACTTCACAACAAACCAGTCTTGTTTAACTAAACACTATTTTGATTTTTTTTATTCGATAAACAAACTTGCTAGGCAATAACCTTATTTCAGCAAACTGCCTCTCATTGCTGAAGTTACTGGTCTCTAATTGAAGACCACATATATTTTAAATAAAGAGCTAAAAGAACATGGCTCACAAACACCATTTACTTTATCTCAATTGTCAATAAAAATGACATGCAATGTTTGCATTCTGATAGAGGGAAATGAACAAATCTTCCAAACTCATTTGTAATTCTTTCAAATAAAAGGGATACTTTCAAATATCTGTGCATGGTTAGAGTTCATAATTATCCAGCAGGCTTAACAACTCTTTTAATAAAGTCATGGGATAAGCAAAGTGTTGCAAGATTCATAAAAAGGGGGACATTTTTTATTCATAATAGCAAACATTTTGATTTAAGAACATAAGAATTTGCTAGTCGAAAGAAGACCAAGGTCCATCTAGTTCGCCTTCCACTATCCTGGCAGTCGATTGACATGTCGTGTCCCATTTAAGGATTAAAATTTCTGTGATTTTTTGGATGCAGTTCAATTATTTCTTTGAGAGACTTCATAAACATTATGCTCACATTATAATCATAATGTCAGAGCCTTGCTCCCTCACTGAAGTTTTCACGTTGTCAAATCTCAAAAGGTTAACTTTAACAACTAGGGCAATTAGACTTGTAAGCAAAAATCTTCAGACTGCTCTCTATCCTCCATCAAAGAAGTCAACATATTAATCGGTACAAACTGTGCACTGAAACAAAGTTCATTGTTTTTATGACCTGCTTTATTTTCTGAAAAGCTTCAATGCAGTTCAGCCACGCCAACACAGGACCTTTGTCATCAGTGGAGCCCCTCCCATACAGCTTCCCTGTAAAAGTTCAAAATAGTCAAGATATTAACACGAATCTGGACAATATGGAGTGAGTGGAGGGGTGGTGGAGAAAAGAGGAGCGAAAGATGAGAAAAGTAAAATAACTAACTCCATTGTAATAGTTTTGTTTTTTTAAATAAATTTAGCATGTTTATTAATTTTAACTTATGGAGTCCTGTAGCTCAGTGCAAGCGAGAGACTTGGGTTCGATTCCAGGCAGGGCGAAACCTGGGGCAAGTTTCCTTACTCCACACGCCTAATAATAATCCCTCAAAAAAAACAATAATAGATTGGTCACTTCAATCCACGACTGGTTGTGGGACATTGCTGTGTGCGTTTTGCCCACAAATATACAGTCAATTCACTTTACAGTATATTCTGTGAAGCGCTTTGAGACGTCTAGAAGATGTGAAAAGCGCTATATCAAATGCAAGATTATTATTATTATATAACTTTCTAATTTTCTTTCCACTGGCATTTGCCACTCTGCTCTAGGTGTGGCTTCCTCTTTCAGGAATATTCCAAACTGTACAAAATCAGAGTACAGTTCCACGGGCACTGGTTGCCCTCTAGTATCTCACCCAAGTGACGTTTGTTCGTGTGTGAGCCTTGGCAGTGAGCTTCAGACGAGCCTGACCTCTTCCCACCCAGCAACCACACACACACACACACACACACAACCAGTAGAGGGTACTGTAGAAGGGCCAGGACCAGTTAGACTGGCTGGGCTGTCTGAGAAGGGTAGGGCAATTTAGCTTCCGCATGGAGTCCTGGCTGAGATCAGCAAAGTCAGCACAGACAGGGATTTGAACTAGCGAGCTCCTGGTCCATACACTCTAGCTCTGTACAAACCACATTGGGGCTGCCTTAGTAATTTTGGTCTCCTGAAGATTTTTTACAAACAATGTTAAGGAGTGACCTGTTTGGGAGTCCTAAAAGAAGATGAATCAGACCGATGTATGAAAAGGGGGCGATATTGAAGGTATGGAGAGTGAACTTAGATAAGCTGGGCAACGTGGAGAAAACCAAACTGGATAACCCAATTCTACATTCTGTGCTACATATTCTACACTAACTTATGTTTACGTGAGAATAATGATCCAATATCAGTTTGATCCACTCCTCTCCCCCACCCTTCACCCAAACCCATCTTGGGTTAAATATTCTGCACATGCAGTCAAATCACTTTGGGCCAAAGTGGCCTTTATGTAAGGGTAGCATCTCAATAAGGTGATTGGTGTGCAAACCAGGCTGTCTAGGTTGTTGCACAATGGTTTCACACAGGGTGTGGTTGCTGAATGGAGGTGGTTGCTTGAATAGATTTGACTGTATTACAAAATCAGAAGACAGCCACTGAACTAGATCAATACTAACAAGCTATGGCAGGTGATTGCCCATGTGCATTGTCCAGTGTGTAGCACAGACCCACAAAAACAACAAAACCAGGCAAGATTCAGGCTAAATCCCATGTTTGAGCAGAGTTAAATAAAAATAAGACTGCAATGTGCTCCAGCCTGTGATAAGAGGTGTGGGTGGGCGGCAGGGGTGGGGGGAATCCAGCTGCTTTCACGGTTTTGATCTCTATTCAGTCACTGTTCTGAGATGAGAATATACATGTTGGGTGAAGACAGGACTGTGATGTTTCCATCTCCCCCACCCCCAGAGTTGTTGAATCACCTGCTGCAACTCCATGTCTTAGACTCCCACATGAACAGCCAGCAAGGTACTGGATGCTGAATGCTACACTCAGCATGAGTCGGCATGCAAAAATGATATGTAACCATCTTAATTTGGCCCCTAATATCTAATACTTCCTTGTTGATTTCTTTCCGTTTCTGAAGAATTGTGTTTTATTCACATGACTCATCACCTACAGAGCAAGCAACAGGCAGCACATGATTTACTTAAAAATTGATTCCCCTTTTATAAACCTATGATGTAGTCAGCCTGCTGTTACACACTCATCAAAGATGCTACGATTCCCGATATAAAATTTATGCCTTTGCACGTCTTTCAGTTAAGGTCTCATAAATTATCACTGTGTTTTTTTACAAAGAGATTAAGGTACAAATGGGGCCAAAGACTACGTTGTGCAATCATACTAAAGTTCAGTGAGTCTTAAACCACAAGATCATCACTGCTCACAAGATAAATTCCTGATTTCAGGCAATCTGTGCAAGGTTGAGAAATGTATTTCAAATGATAGGCAATGTAACCCTCTGCACACTGGCTTAAGAACATAGCAATGTGCAAGCAAAACAAAATATACACATACACACACACACACATTTCTCAAGTATCCCATGAACGCACAGTTCTGTAATAATCTACATTTGAAACTCAGGTCACCAAATTCATTTTATAGTCCCCCAATTGTCACAAAATAATCAAGTGCCTAAATGATCTTCACTTCAATTATTGCACTCTTAAACCTGGTATTATGTATGAGAAAGCCTTTGGTTTTTCAAATTTATAATAAAAGAATGAGGACTAAGCTAGTTTTAACAAAGACACATTACAGTGTCTCAGTCTCTCGTCTACTAACCCTTATCCAATAATATATGCTGTGAAAAGGACAAGTAGGTCTCTGTGTTACACCAGCAACATATTAGTCACATTGCTAGTCAATTCAAAGGGTTGAGCAAAACAAAAGCTTGAAAAGCAAGTGATCATTGGAAAGCAAATCAATGTTTGCAAAAGCATTACTAAAAAATTACTAAAGAAAAAAAACTTTATCTTAGTGAGCATTTAAATGGTTCATAACAATTGAAAAGTTTATAGACCAATTAGTTGTGGAGCTTTTGCCTTAATTTAAAAAATTCTCATCTGCGATCAAAGGCAGTGCATATGTGTGTGTGGAGGGTGTGTGGGGGGGAACAGAGGCTTAATGTGATCCATGTGGCAGAGAAAAGGATTTTTTCAGGAAAAAAATAGAAGGCAACTATTAAACCATCATATCTGCTCTGGGTTGTATTTCCAGTTAGGTTTAAATTCACCACAACACACCAGTGATGAATCCTCACATGACACCCTCTTCATGCTTCCAGTTTCAGTCAATGTCATCAGATTTCACCATTCTTTATGGGATTTTTTTAAAATCCAAATTTGCTTAAGCAGCCAAATTCCTCAGAAAGATGTGGCAATTCAGTATCATGACTGATGTTCACTGAGCGCACTCACTGGGATATTTGCCCACAGTATATATTGTATAACGCTATGAGATGTCCTCCTGACGTGAAAGATGCTATAACAAATGGAAGGATTATTTTATTATTGTCCAAATTGTCCAAGGTGATCTATCTCGCTCAGTGTTGCACAGTAAAGTGGAATTCATCAGTATCAGGGTGACTATCTTTTGATATACTCCTGTGCTAGTTTATTGTTTTGTAACTTTGAACATTTAAATCACTTGAGTTACAAAGTATACTGTTCCGCCTGCAAAGCAAGTCTTGCTTTGAACCACTCTACTACTGCACCAGAAGCTGTAATATAATGGCTGCATAAAAGCTCTGTATGTTGCAAAAAAGGACTATTCCTCAATCTATCACATATTGTATCACTCAATTGTCAAATGTAAAGAGTATAATGCAATGGGACTTGATCAGGGTTCATCAAGGTATTCTGATCAGATTGAGACTGATCCAAGGTCAACTAAGTAGTTCTGAAATAGGAAACTGGAGATGGAGATAAACTGGACAGAGGACAGAGACTGAATAACTGTAAAGATCACAACATCATTACAACAACTGATGTTCGCTATCTCAAAAGGGTCCCTTTTCTTACCATCTTTTTCCACCAAGGTAAAGGGGTCAGTGTTCCAGCCATCCTCAATTTTGGCAGGTTGAACATCCAAGTGTCCATAAATGCACACAGTCTTCTTTTTTGGATCATTGCCCAGTGTGGCCAATAGGATTGGTGGAAGAGGAATCTGACTTCCATCAGGGAGCTGTTAGATACATTGAAGTTTTTGAAAAGATATACATTTGAAAGACGGGTAATTTTGAGCAAGATATATTCTAATGTTTCTCACCGTCTGTTGCCCAATATCGGCAAGTTCCACTGTTCCACCCAGTCGCTCTACCTCTTTGGCAACAAACTTTACCATCGCTGTGGTTTCAGCCCTCTTCTCTGGTGTTGTGGATACACTCTGAATGGCCACCCATTCTGCAAGACGCTAAGAAACAAGATCACAAAGTGTTATTAATCAATTAGGGTTTGATCACCACATCAGTGTAGGACTGGTTAAGAAGAAAGCTGATGGCTTTCCACATGATCATTATTCTGGAAATTCAATGTCCAGCTCCTGGACATCAGACTTACCTTTTCCTGTAGCTAATGTGTTAGCCAAAACTCACAATCAGAGCAAAATTGCAATATTCAGTGGAGCCTCACTATAATACAATGTTTTGGATACATAAAATCTCAACCAAGGTGCAATAGCAAAATTGACAATCCATCCATGCATGGAACTGGCTTTTTTTTAAACAAAATATATATATTTATTTGTTGACATATATTTTCGCTCGTCTCAGACAGTATCAAACCGTTACAGAAGATGCAACATGTTATTATCCCGTTACAGGCCCAGCCCCTTGTGGCGGTGGGGGGGGCGCGCTCTGCACACTCCACTTTGGTGGAGGGACCAAGGCTTCCCCTCCTCGCAGTTATAACTGGGGTCTTGTATCCCCCTACCTATCGGCCCCCTCTTAGGGGGGAGTGCGGACTGTTCCACAGCACACAGGATGTGCACACATTTTATTTCGCCATGCATCAGCTGGTTCCCATGCTAAAAGAACAAATGAGTGGCTCTGGGTCAGTGGGTCACTGCTGACTGTGAATGCAGAAAGCACAAGGTGATATTAGCAATAACCTGATGACCCCAAAATCAGCCATTTTGGCATGAAAGCTGCCCAATGCACATGGAACAAAGAGGCCAGCCGCACACATGCACAGTGAACGGGGCACAAGAGGAATCAAATTCATGTTTATAACTTGGTTGCACTGTAACTGCTGACAAAGCACAAAAATATAATGGAGAACAAATCAAATTCAATATCATTTTGCTGGATTATTTCCACCTCCGTCATCTTAGATGCTTTTTGATATTTGCAATCGGAAGACACAATTAACATATAAAATCCAGTTTGCGAATATCACAAATTGGATGCCGGTATGTTTTGGACTGATATTGTGAAGCAAACATCCTCTCTAGCATGTTACGTAGGACAAAACAACTTAAATTTAAATGTTGCCGGGCACAAAGCAGGAGGTAAAGGAAGGTGATCGCCGGCAACTTTTAAAGATAGAGAGGGCTGTTTAAACGGGGTTTAAAATGAAAGCAATGTACAATAAAAACAAAAATGGAAGTCGATGGGAACACTCAGGCAGCATCTAAGGAGAAAGGAAAATGAGTCAAAGTTTTTGGGTCCACGACCCTTCATCCATTCTGACGAAGGATTGTGGACGCAAAACGTTAACTTACTTTCCTTTCTCCATAGATACTGCCAGACCTGCTGAATGTTCCCAGCGACTTCTGTTTCAGTTTCAGATTTCCAGCATCTGCAGTATTTTGTGTTTTGCTATATAAACTAAAGTTAGATAAAACAAAAGGGGAAATAAAAGTTACACAAATGAAAAATAAACGATTTGAGTTTCTTAAAACAAAAAACTTACTTTGATGTACAACTCCTGATGCTCATCGATGTACTTGAAAAGGTCAGGAAGGTACGACATTTTTCTGACGACCAAAGGGTAGTAGGGATTCTGAAAGGAGAAGTTACGATGAATAATGCATAAATTGCTGATGAAGCAATTGAAATGCGCAGCTTCCTGCTTTTATAGCTCGACAGCAATGGAGCTCCACCTCCTAAATTCTGCAGCCACTAGAAACTCAGCCAATTTACACTTTGCAGAAAACTTTGGAAACTTTGCCCCCTCTCTCCCTTTTTTCAAGTCCTGCCTGCAAACCTTCCTCTTTGACCGTGCTTACAGCCACCTCCCCCACCCAACCCAGTTTGGACTCAGGCTCTGCCACTTGTTAGAAAATAAAATCAGAAATAATCCGTTTGCAACCAGATATCTGACTGTTTTATTATTATTCGTTCGTTATTCCCCAATATCCCGTTGGATATTGGGGAATAACCAATATAACAGACCAAAGGCCGGTACAATCAACAGACCTTATAACAGAACAATACCACCGTAGATATCTCGAGTTCAACACTGTGTCTTTACAGCACACAAGCTTGATTCTTCATGCTTTCAGTCTTCTTGCTTACAACTTTCAATCTTCCATCTGATATCCTCAGTCTTAGTGTTTCTAGCTCTCAGTCTTCCATCTCCCGTACCCTTGTCTCCGCAGCCTGGGATGGCCTCATCTCCCATATCCTTGTCTCCGCGACGGCCCCATCTCCCGTACCCTGGTCTCCACAACCCGGGACGGCCCCATCTCCCGTACCCTTGTCTCCGTGACCCGGGACGGCCCCATCTCCCGTACCCTGGTCTCCGCGACCCGGGACGGCCCCGTTCACAAAGTTAACGGAAGTCTTATACCGATGTTTATCCAATCATGGTGCGGACATTAGATCACCAGGTCAAAATCATGCCGGGTGTACGTGCCTCAGCCCACATACACATTATCCTTAAGACCCCTGTTATCTGATCTAATTGTCTAAGATAGAGGATTGATCAGTTTAAGGCTGTATCTGGTGCTCATTATTTTGTGGTGTGGGATCATTAGTACATTCCTTTTAAGTGACTGGTTATTTCTTATCAGTATCCCGGGATGGTACCAAGGTTTAAGCAACTTGCTCATTAGTTGCTACGTGGAGTCCTGTAGCTCAGTGGTTAGAGCACTCGCTTTGCAAGCGAGAGACCTGAGTTCAATTCCAGGCAGAAACCTTGGGCAAGTTTCCTTACTCCACACGCCTAATAATAATCCCTCCAAAACCAAAAACAATAATAAATTGATCATTTTCAATCTACGACTGTTTGTGGGACATTGCTGTGCGCAATTGGCTGCCGCGTTCGCCCACAAATATAGTCAATTCACTTTACAGTGTGTTCTGTGAAGCGCTTTGGGACGTCCTCCCCGACATGAAAAGCGCTATATCAAATGCAAAGGTTATTTTATTATTATTATTCTTGAGGGTTGCCTTCTGTCGCTTGGCAGGCCCTGTCAGAATCTAGCGACTTATTGCTAAGTCGAGATTCTATATCGACCGGTACCTTGGACCGTTATCTCTGTGGGCGTGTTGTCATTTACTGATAAGAGGTGACCCCCTGCCCTTTTCCAAAGCTGTCCTGTTATTCTTTCAAAAACAGAGAAAAGCAGATGTGTCCTATCCCATGACTGTCAGTCCAGTTGTCCCCCACACTTAACTTAAAAGTGAACCCATTCACAACATCTATTATGATTCTAGCAGTATACAAAAAGTGTATATTCTAACACACTGTTAAGCACTGCGTGGAGGGCCCTATATAAGTGCAAGTTGTTGCAGACAATGATTAATGAATCCTCTTGGGGCTTTTTACCCAAAACTTTACCGTCCTTAAAAAGGCATTCAAATTATTTTCCTTCTATTCAATTACAGTTCCAAAGGCTCCCTCTGCCATACACAATCTATTTTATATTGAAAAGAGCCTTTCATGTCGGGAGGACATCCTAAAATGTGTTCATTCACATTTGAGCCTCAACACCGAGTGTTGGCCCCTTCCAAAAGGATAGCGATTGGGAGCTCAGTTTAATTTCCTCTTAACATAGGGCTCAGATACCACTTGCAGTGCTGCTCTGACTGAAATCAGCTGAGCTCAGTGAGGCATGGGTTTGAGCCTTGTGTAGTCTCATACTGTAACAATGCCTTTACCCACTATAAGACTGAGAATTTATAAATTATGAATTGACTTTATATTTTGCGGGCACCAGGCGCCTAATTGGTTCAGTTGGTAGCACTCTCACCTGAGTCAAAAGGCTGTGAGTTCAAGTTCCACATCAGGAATTTGAACTCAGTTTAGGTTAGAGGATGGGCAACTTGCATTTGCGGCCCACATAACTATTCCACGCATCCGTCAATGGGTACGCAAATTGGCCGTGCAATGCAGGGCTGGATTTGCACTGCGGTGTTGGAGGCATTCTCCTTCAGATGAGACTCTAAATCAAGATTCCTTTTGCATGTCAGATGGACGTTAAAGATCTCATGGCACTATTTGAAAGAAGAGCTTCTCCCGGTGCCCTATCTACCAATCCCCCCAGAAAACAGTGGGCATTTGCTTTGTGGCTCTGGGACATTGCTATGTGCAAATCAGGTGCCACACTTGCCTACAAAAGTCTTTAACCAAGCATAATTCCCAGGACAGCGGGAGCGGTAGTTGCTTGAGTAAGCAGCTTCAGGACACACAGGTTAATCCTGTGAAATGCTTTGAGACGTCAAGCAGAAGTGAAAGGTGCCACATCAAAGATTACTAATAAGGAAATGAGGACATTAAGGAGTATAGAGGAAAGGCAGGGAAGTGATGAAAAGATCTGCCATCATTTAATAAACTAGTAGAAAAGTTTGATGGCCTTTTCCTGTTCCCACGTCACCCAAGTTTCTAGAATAGTCTATATTTATCTCTGAATTCCTGTCTTCAACCAAGCATAATTCCCAGGACAGAGGGAGGGGTAGTTGCTTGAGTAACTAGCTTCAGGATACACAGAAGGTTAAGAATTTGTCATCCCCAAACTAGCAAAACCACTTTGTGAGCAGTGACCAAATGGACCAAATTTAATTTATAGCAACTTTAATTCAAACAACAATGAAAGGAATCTTCAACCCTCAAAAAGGTTAAAGTCCACCTTTAAAAAGGCAACCAACAGCTATTCAAAAAGATCGTTCTAGCCAACTGCACAATCTGTGAAAGAGTAATTTATTCTAAGGCTAAATAAAAAGACAAAAAACACAGGGCTGGGATGGTAATGGATTCGAGTTGAAAAGCACGGGAACTGCTAGTCTCGACAGTAAGAGATGAAGTTGTGAGCCCAAGAGAAACAGGGTGGGGCTTTGCCATTTTATATAATAGTTTTAAAAAACACACCAAAAATAGAAACAGTAAAATGAAGGGGAACAGAGGAAGGTTGTGCATCACCCGAGAAAATGGATTAAGCACACTGTACAAGATGGATTAACCCATTAAAATCTTAATGTTAGGTTTTAACCCCCGTCAGGAAGAGTAGAAGCCACATAAAAATTAATTATTACAATCAGCTATTTCAACACTAGTTCTATACTTAAAAGTTACCATTATCGTAGCTTTAAATATATATAAAATCAGGAAGACTATTTGTACAGCTCAATAGGCTGTTTTCAGCCTTGAACAAAGTAATAAATAAATGGTTACACATCAATGGTTTTCATTTGGTGATTTTATTTTAATTGACATTCTCTACCTCAGATGGTTTCATTCCTTCTTCTTGTTCTCTTATCAAATACTCAAGATAACCCCTACGTTAACAGACATTTCAGCAAAAAAAGTGCCAAGTCAACTCAAATTTAAAAACTGATAACAGCTCTGCATTAATCAAATAGCAGAGTGGGCTTACTTGCCATTACTTATTGATTTCTTGATAAAAGCACAAAACTGTTAAGAGATTTTATCTTTTACCATCTTACAAAATTACTGGGAGAGTCAAACCTTTGACTTCACTCATTGAGAGCGAGCCAGGCTGACACACAATTGTAAGGGTGATGAGTACTGTACACTGAAACTTAAACAGACTCAAAACATGTGTTTAGATGGTTTCATTTACTGCAAGTTATTTTCCTGTGCACAGGTGGCATTGCGGTTACTTTTGGCTACCAACATTACAGTACCAAGCACAATAACACAATTCCTACACTGGCTCCACATTATCTCTTAACACTACAATGACCTTTCCTCATAGAAAGGCCTGGAAAGTCAGGCAAGAAATGTCCTTGACTGCCTAAGCAAATTAGAAGAGTTTGAAAAAATCTGACGATAGTTGTGGGTCAAGCCCTGTATTGGACTTTAGGCTGACACTTTTGTACAAAAAAAACAATAATAAATTGGTCATTTTCAATCTACGACTGTTTGTGGGACATTGCTGTGCGCAATTGGCTGCCGCGTTCGCCCACAAATAAACAGTCAATTCACTTTACAGTATATTCTGTGAAGCGCTTTGAGACGTCTAGAAGACGTGAAAAGCACTATACAAATGCAAGGATTATTATTATTATCAGATGAGGTCTTGTCTGCTTGTTCAGGTGGATGTTAAAAATCTCATGACAGTATTCAAAAAGAAGTGAGTCTCTCCAGCTAACCTGGCAAACAACTCCTAAATACAATTGATCATTCACTTGATGGCTATATGTGGCACATTGCTGTACACAAATTGGCTGCCCCATTTGCTTACACATTGCACAGTCGGAACACTTTACGATATAACCTTTGAAATGCTTTGAGGCATCCTCCCAAAATGAAAGGTGTGATATCAAGTGTAAGGATTATTATCATTGTTATCTACAACCAACTTTTCTTTCATTGTCCTCTCTCTTTCCATGGTCTCCCATGAGTTCTCAGTTTGGAAAAGCACAATTTAGAACACAAATGAACTATATGACCAGGAAAGACTCAGCTGCACAGCAACTGGCCTTGAGAGCTCATAGGAGAAACCAGCCAGGGCTCTTCCTGCTATCCAGTGCCCTCTGGTGGAAAGTGGAAACTTGTTCAAATTTGTTTAGTCATGCTGAAAGAAGGTACTTCTGGATAACTGACTCCCACAAATCACACCTAAGCAGAAGCCGGTACCTTCAGGAAAGAAAAGAAGCACGTTGGATTGAAAAATAATTCTCATTGTATCATAAATTGGAGGAAACCATTGATACCTTTCAATTTTGTGACAGATGTCGATCCCACACCACCATACAAATGTGGCAAAAGAGCAGGGATTGCCACCACCAGCATTTCCAAGCTCAGCAGAAAACTGAATAAAAACAGTGGCAACCAATGATACTGATGTGTAGCTTAATGCAGGGGACATCAAATGCTTGCACACTGTTATTTTGAAGCCGGTATACACTCCAACACTTAGCTAACCAGACTAATGCGAAGGGGGGGAAATCCAGTCCAGCTAAATGTTAATGCATTTAAAATAAATATAATAAAATAAAATACAAAATTCCAAATGAAAGTCAATAATCTAACATTTAAAATGAATAAAAATGAATTTAAAATAAATAAAATGGATTTTTGGCTCACAGAATTTAATTTTTTTCCAGACTTCACCTGGTTCAGCCAAGTCCAAATTCAGGGTACTTGAAGTCAAGGGTTGAGTGTACCTATGAGGTTCGTTGCTCAGTAATGCAACAAACAACCTTGGAGACATCTCTGCTCACTTGGAAAGAGGCAGCGCTAACCAGGTTAAGGACGCCACATAATCTATCCCACCACATGATACATCACAAAAAAGAACTACTTCTCAATTATAAGACAAATGCAAACTACAATACGTTCACCAATTCATCATGCAAGGCATCCCATAGCATAGTGATCAGCGCACTCATCCTGCAAGCGAGAGGATCTGGGTTCAATCCCGAGGTGGGGCAAAATCTTTGCAAGTTTCCTTACTCCCCACAACTCTGATTACCCAGCAGTAAGTTGCACCCAGTAAAACCCACATAAGTCGTGTAATTCGGGATCACTTTCTAGGGGTATTATCCCGCCCTCAAAAAAAATGTGGTCATTCATTCCACGACTGTTTGGGGACACTGCTGTGCGCGATGGGGCTGTTGTGTTTCACCCACAAAAACACAGTCAATCCACTTTACAACAACGTGATGAAGGTGAAGGGGACTGACTGACTGACTGTAAGCTTCCTGCAGTGGAGGAGGGCATCAGACTAACCCGAGCAGCTCTGGGGCCCTGTGCACCCAAAGCTATGCCCAACAGCAGAAAGAAAGGGACCATTCTGTGCCATCATCCCCAAACATACACACACACACACACACACAGTGTGTGAGAGCTGCTCTCTCTCTCTCTCTCTCTCTGTGTCTCTCTCTCTCTCTCTCTGTGTCACTCACTGCACTGACCTTCCAAATTCGAACGCCGTCCACAAACGCTTCGCGACCGTGATTGACAGGTGTGAGGGGGGCGGCACGTCCGGGAGCGGGTCCTCGGCCTGGCCGGGCGGCTCGGGCGGGATCACGCCCAATTGGGCGGGTTTTGTGTGCGTTGGGGACTGTGCAGGAAAAAGGGCGATGCCTCATTTTTTTCCCACATTTTTTATTTAAACCCGCAGAACGCTCCCCGCACCCTGGAGGCCTCTTCTTCCACGGTTTCAAAAACCACTCACCTACATCGTGCGGTCTGCTCCCCATTAACAGGCAACCCATAACATTGGGCTACTTCTGGTTGACTTGGGCTACAAATGCAGTTTGATTTCTAGCAAAACCTACCAGTGTTCAGTGAACCATCAGGTTATAGCATCGAGAGACACACACACAGTGTTCCTGCAGATTGGATTACTGTTTTGTAATAATGTGGGTTTAATGGTTGTCCAGCCAGTCATTGATTTAACAGGGTTTGTCTCAATCCAGGGTTTGATTTGTTCAACAGGGTTTAGATGTCAGCCTGGCTCAGTTGGTAGCACTTTGGTAGCACTTTTGCCTCTTGAGTTTTAAGGCACTATATCAATTGCAAGGATTATTGTAGGTTGAAGCCTCAAATTGGGATTTAGACTCATGTAGTCTATGCTGACACTCCACTGCAGTGCTGGGGAGTGCTGCATTGTTGAAGGTGCAAGGGGAAGATGAAAGAGATCTCGAGGTGTTAGTTCACTAGTCACTCACCATGTCATAATAGTGTGAGGAAGCTGATAATCATTACAAGGATAAAGTACACGACGCTCGGTTCGGAAACCTTATTTAGGTTCGGGAGACCTAAATTAGAGCATGAAATATATAATAATACAATAATAATCCTTGCACTGATATAGCGCTTTATAATCCTGACCTATCTTGATCCATCGATCTATTGATTCATGCACAGAAGAACTTAATTTCTCACAATTCAACGTGATTCCAACGTTTGCCAGTAACTGCACTTGGGCGACGTATTGAATCGCAGGAAATGTAGTCTTGACCCATCACCACGTGCTCACTTACCGGCTGCAGTGACAAACATGTGCATTTACCAGCTACATTGAATTTCACATATGCAGAGTATATTATTGATTAAACCGTATTTTAACCATCTTATACAGTATGCCTACAACTTGGACTTTGCATAAGTCATATTAAATGTTCCCGAATTATACAACTTATGTGGGTTTTACTGTATATCCAAGATAAACGACTAGGTTTTTATTTTTAAACTGGTCATGTGATTGTCTCTTGTATTATCGCAAAAATTGCATCTGAGCCTGTCATCAAACATCCACACACACTTACTCCTAGCAGGGTTTCCTTGATGGCAACTAATTTGGCTAAAGGATTATTAGCCTAGGACTTCCAGGTTAACTCTCTTCTCTTTTCAATTTTTGCCATAGGACCTTCAAAACGGACCTGGACTTACATTTAACACCTCATCTGAATGATAGCAACTCTGGCATCACTCGTCTGGTTCAGCATTGGAGTGTCAGCCTGAAAGTGCTACCAACTGAGCCAGGCTGACACCACTTGTGTTCGTGATTTTAGCTTGGCACATGCAGTTCAAGATAAGCAAATTGCTTTTTGTATCTTAACTTAGAAGTTTGCGTATAAACAAATCGCTAAAGTGGTCTGAGTATTTGGCTGGCCTCTGGGTGCAAAGATTGTAATCCACTGAACTAAGAATGCCTTCAGCCAGCAACAAAACTCTCAGATTTACGCTCGAAATCATAGGATATGCAACATCAAACATATTTTATCATTCCCTCCCCTCAACTATCAGTGTATCTCCCATCATGAGACACCATCCTGGAACAGTTGTAGAAGTGTCAGTGCTACATTATTGGCGTAACAACCCAGAAAAAGAAAAGTACTGATCAAACTATGCAAGCATGAAACAACAACAACAAAATTACATTTGTACAGCGCCTTTCACATCGGGAGGAATGCACATCTCCATGAGACTAACTTGTGACTGCTGTCAATATGCTCAAAACATCAATAGCCCTTTGAGAAAGCAATGTTACTTTTGAATTGAAATGAAAATTACTATTTAGAATTCCCTATAATTTCCTGAAAATGTATAATGTGAACTCATAATAACAAATTTTAGTTATTACAATGTTGTGAACCTTGGAAAGGTTTTAGCTCATTTTAGCTCAATTAGTTAGTAACAAGATACACATCTTTCATCCCCAGGAGTTTGTCATAATAAGACTATAATAAGACTTGTCATAATAAGACTATAAATCTCTGGTTATAATAAATAATAATAAGCTTTGATATAGTGCCTTATCACATCATCAAAACGTTTCAGGCTTTAACTGTAAAGACTGTGCATTTGCAGCCAATTTGCATGCAGCAATGTCCCACAAACAGCTATCAAGTGAATGTCCATTTATGTTAACTGGGGGATTGTTGGCCAGGATACTAGAAGAAATTCCCATCTCTCTTTAAATGGTGTAGGATCTTTAATGTCCATCTGAAAGGGCAGACAAGACTTTATCTTTACATGCCATCACAGGCACAGCACCTCTGAAAATACACCCCCAGCACTGCGCTACAGTGTCAGTCTAGACTATATGATACATGGGCCTTGAGCCCACAATCTTCTGAGTCGGTGGCAAGGATACTATGAACTGAGCCAAGCTGATCCCATATGACTTTCAAGCGCAGGTTAACAGCGTCCAGTGAACATCCCAGGACAGGGAACTGACTTGTTGACCTCATGGTTGATTGCACAACCATGCTCTAAAATGTACATATTAGAAACTTGTTAGATTGAATCCTGATTTGTAGTGAATTAGTTGATCGCAGTCCAGGGTAGCATTGGAATTAGCTAAGTGCTCCAAGCTTGGGAGAGGAAAAGCAGCCAAGGTTCCGCCTAATGGTTACTACGTAACAGCCCTTGATGGAAGGTGCACATTTGGGACATGAGGTACTTACATAATAATAATAATGATGATAATAATTTTATTTCATATAGCACCTTTCACATTGAACGTCTGAAGCACTTCAATGATTTACTGTGTAAAGTGTAGTGACTGCATATTTTGTAGGAAATACAGCAACCAATTTGCACACAGCAATGTCCCACAAACAATCATGAAATCAATGATCACTTTTATTTGGAGATTGTTGACCAAGACACAAGAAAAAACTCCCTACTCTTTTCACATAGTGCAGTGAGATCTTCATCAGCCACCTTGTAAAAAGCAGTGGATGTTTGTTTTCTTTAAGTATGGTTATTAGTAGTGTACAGTTTCTTAAGACGTTTTATTATTCACACAATCCTACATTGTTTATTAATGAGGGTTAGTTGGTTTAGATTTGAGTCTAGAAGTCTGAAAGCAATAGAACAGGCATACGTAAACGTAGATCTAGGTGTCAATGTAATTAAATTCAGTATGTGTTCACAAGGCTGCAAAGACTGGCGAGGTCAGCAGAATGGGAAGATAGACAGGCCAGCACCAGTTGCTTTAAACATGTTAGAGTGGGGAGGACAATAAACAGAAGACACACTCAATTAATAATAATAATAATAATCCTTGCATTTGATATAGTGCTTTTCACGTCAGGAGGACGTCCCAAAGCACTTCATAGAACACACTGTAAAGTGAATTGACTGTATTTTTATGGGCGAATGCGGCAGCCAATTGCGTACAGCAATGTCCCACAAACAGTCGTAGATTGAAAATGACCAATTTTTTTATTTTTGTTTTTGTTTTTGGAGGGATTATTATCAGGCGTGTGGAGTAAGGAAACTTGCCCAAGGTTTCGCCCTGCCTGGAATTGAACTCAGGTCTCTTGCAAAGCGAGTGCTCTAACCACTGAGCTACAGGACTCCACGATTAAATTAAATTAAATACATCAACTGAGACATTTCTTGACTCCTCGAGCTCCAATGGGTCACAAGACAGAAGGGAGATTAGGGTTGAATGGAGGAGATATTTACATGAGATGCTTTAAGAAAGAATGGGATGTTTGAGAACCATTCTTTTATTTGAGATAAAGATACAAGAAAGGGTATTGTTTAGAATAAGTAGGTTAACTAGAGCAGGAATACTGAGCAAAAAAAAGGTTTCACGCCAGATAGCAGGATCAAGAGGGGAATATCTGGTCAATGTCCAAAGATGGTAATGGGGTATAAAGATAAAGAAAAAGAGTGGTTCGACACAACAGTTGAGGAAGCATCCACGAGAAGAGAAGTGACGACCTCCCACCTGCCACGGTTGTCCGGATGCTGAAAACGGGTAGTATGTTTTCAGTTGTTCTGTAAAATCAGGCAAGGAGGTGTTAGTGCAAGGGTAACTGGTGCATGAAGGAAGCGAGGCCAGGTCAGATAGCGTGAGTGAGGCACTGAGCTAGAGTCTCATTACGGGTTGAGATTAATTAATAATTAATAATAATAATTAATAATAGAGTATTCCTTAGATCGGTTGTCCCTGAGGGTTTGCCGGGGGCCGGTCATTGTGGTATTTAGAAGTATAAGGTCGGTAGGCTCCGAGGGTTTCCTAGAGGCCGACGACAGACGTAAAGATTGTAGTTTATTGATTTAAGATTAACTGCGTCATATCGATTGTGTTTTGTATCGGGTAACTGGTACAGTTGCATTGTGATTTTATGTCTCAATTTCAATAATATAACATCTTGAATTAAGATCTATACTCCTATCATTGTCTGCAGCCGGGATATTTACAACCTGAATAGGCAGACGGGACCTCGGTTTAACATTTTATCCAATTTGTAGTCTCACCTTAAATTGTGAATTCTGAGATCCAACATGTGTTAACCAACAACTTTCTGAATCTGAGGTGACAGTGCTATCAGCTGGGCCAGGCTGACATAACTTAGAGAAGATAGCTCCACTGGGGAAGCTAACACCAGCACAGATATCATTCTGTGGTGTAAACTATCTATGATTCTAAATGCTTTCCCTTTCAGTTTTTACCTATCTCAAATAAAATTAATAATATTTGAAT